TTTGCTGTGTGCGGCCTCCCCACCGTATTAGTCTCTCCACCCGAGGGGGCCGACCTGGGGGCTTACCCAGAGTCCCTGGCAACCAGGACCCTGACATTGACTAGACTCCACCAATGTGAGCTACACCGTGAGAGAGAAGGTGGCCCTGCAACGTTTTATGGGAAAGGGAAGCCTCAGATGTTCCAGCACCCGGGACATGATTGCTATTGGTGCTGGTGACAGTTGTGGGTTTGGCCCAGGATAATTGGAGCACTGTTATGTGGTGAGAGCATTTCCATATGGTGGGAGTGATTTCAGGGGGTGCTCAGCCTGCAGCGACTTGAAGCAGGATTTTGGTTTCTGGCCAGAGACTGAAGTCAGGCCGCAGCAGTGAGAGCACTGAATCCCAGCCACTAGATCGGTGGCCAGTGACAAGGCCCTGGCCGTGTGGCTTTGCAGAAAATGAATTTCCACCAAGAAATGGAAAATAGTGAAACAAGTAAAGTGTTACTAGAAGGGGAAAAAAAAAAAGAGTACGTGTGGATAGACACACGGGTGGGCTCAGAGAGAGAGTAGTGCCCTCATGGTAGCTGGAAGCATCTCCTTCGCTTGGTTCCGTTTATTCGGTTTATCCCAGTGTCCTCCTATGCCTGCACACACATCTCTTAGCCAAGATAGATTCTAGCGAAGAAGCCTATGAATAGGTTGACAGCGCTCCCTTTTGATCTCCAAGAAGTCTTCCTGCGCATGTATAGTTGGGAATGTCTCCTTGACCTCGAGAATGAGAAATATGTGGTCTCTCATCTGGGCAGGGCTCAGCTCCTCCTCTTCATCTTGGAATATCTGTCCACAGGGGACGAACTCCAGCTGTTCAGCCTAGGGCCCATCTATCTCCTGCCTCAGGAGCATCTCTGAGTGGTAAGAGCATCTCTGTATGGCAGGAGCATCTCTGAGTGGTAGGAGCATCTCTCTGCGATAGGAGCATCTCTGAGTGGTAGGAGCATCTCCCTGCGGTAGGAGCATCTCTTGTGCCTTAGCAGCCTCCCTCTGCAATGGGAGTATCTCTATGGGGTGTGAGCATCCCTGTGCAGTGGCCGCAGTAGGGGCAGCTTTCCCATCAGGCCTGTCATATGCAATGATTTGAGGCACTGTTCCTGGAAAGTAAGCCTCTAACTTGGCCCTCCCCACCTCCTGACAGCTACGTGTGTGCGCTCGGTCGCTTAGTCAAGTCCGACTCATTGCGACCCCATAGTCTGTAGCCCGCCAGGCTCCTCTGTCCATGGGATTCTCCCTGCAAGAATACTGGAGGGGTTGCCATTTCCTACTCCAAGGGATCTTCCCAACCCGGGAATCGGAACCCCTGTCTCTTGCATTTCCTGCCTTGGCGGGTGGGTTCTTTACCACTGTGCTGCATGGGAAGCCCCGACAACTCCAGGAGCCCCCAATATCCTTTAACAAACTCCTTCTCTGTGTAATCTGCCAGAATCTACTTCCGTGGCTTGCAAATAAGAGCCCTGCCTGGCCCCGCACCCTCCTATTTCAGGCTACCCTGTCCCTCCTCCCCTGCCCAACACAGGCTGACATAAATTCCCACGGTGAAAAGAGTAATGTCAGCATGAGAAATTTTTTTGTGACGATGGTGATGATACCTTACATTTTTATAGCGTTTTACAGCCCGTTAAAGCAATTCTGAGCTCTCTGAAAACACATCTGTCGATGAGGGGAAGGGGTCTCAGGGCTGAAACCATCGTTTATTCGCCCATTATCGCCTTCAGGTCAAAACCCATTAAGTGCTTGTTGGGCTGCACAGCCTGTCACCTGCACAGAGCTTCTTCATGAAGGATGCCTGGTAACTTGGGGTTCATCATCTTACAGCCCCTGCTGTGTGTCCACAGTGCACAGATGAGAAGAAAAACATCGCCAGTCACAGGATATGACATCTGGAAAGACCCTCACTACAGATCGGGAATCTGAGGATGGGTGACTCGGCCCACATGACATAGCAAGGTCATGACCAATGCAGGATCAGAGGTCCTGGCTTTGCCCACGAGGGGTATGCAACACATGTAAATATATAAAATGCCATCCCTCAGTATCAGCCTTCTCCCCACCCATAGACCACTCTCCTCTAGAGTGTTTGGGAAAGAGGAGTGTATCAGTTAGTCACGCCAGGTTATGCTGCCGTAACAAACATCCCCCATCTCTGGGCTTACATCAACCTGGGTCTACTTCTCATGCACGCTGCCCCTCTGTAACCCCCTGAGAACCCACCTACTCTAGCAGCCCCATCTGGATACTGCCAATCTCCACGCAGAGAAAAGCAGAACTCTGGAGGATCTCAGCCTGGCAATGAAAAGATCCAGCACCAAAGGGCCCCTTGGCTCAGAACTGGCTGGCCAGAGCTGGTCCCAGCACACCACCCAGACTGGGAAGTGTGGGCCTGCTATGTGCTTGGAACCCAAGTGCAGCTGGTATCCGGTGTAGCTCACGGCACGCGGACCCCCAGGATCTGGCTGAAACACAAATCCAGCCATCAGCAGGTGTGGGCCGGTCTGAGACTCTGCATCTGGGAGCAAAGGGGAGAGTGGTCAGGCGGGTCGCCTGGAAAACCTACAACCAACCAACCAACAAAACACAAAAACAGTGCGCTGGTCTCTCGAACCCCAGTCCTGGAGATGCAGACAGATGATCCACTGAAGAAAGGTCCCCTGCTAACCAACCTTCAGTTAACCACGGAACCTACACGTGCCGGGCACTGATCAGTGGCTGGGGGCTCTGTGGGAAAAGGGTAGGGGGCCTTCCTGCCGCACGGGGCTGCCTTCTCGTGGGGAGACAAGTTCATAATGAACTCATTTTGGCAGGAGGATCTCCCAGGAGCTCATGAAGACCTTTGTGCCTCTTTCAGGCTCCAGGCAGATATATTAATAGTTTTTCCACTGTCTCTCTCCACTCTGCCCTTAATGACAGCCACATGGAAGCTTCTGATCCCACAGTCCTTGTTTTCAGGCCTGAATTTCAGACTGATCAGTGTTGTGAATCGGTGGGGAAACGGGTGGTGGGGGAGAGGTGGGAGAGGAGACCATGGCTCGGGGGTGGGAGGCAGGCAGGTGACGGAGCAGACACAGGGCCACAGGCCAGCCTTGGCCACAGCTAGCCGAAGCCTGGCCTGAGCTCCCTGAAGGCCAAAGTGGGACATGGTCAGTGGTGTTACCTTGAGTGTCGGGTTTGGTTCTCAGGACACCTGGGTTTCACCTTGGACCGAGGCCCACACGTCTGCATATGATAGTTCTGCGGATCTAGGGGCACCAGGAGTACCTGGTCTTCAAATCTGAGTTCCCTGGTCCTGATTTTTCATTTATAATTTACCAATTCACAGCAAGACGCTTTGATGCAGAGAACCTCAAGCTTTCCCCAACAATGTTGGGTATAAAACATGCACACGCTCGAGGCCCACCTTGGCAGCCTGCCCCTTAATGAGGGGTCGGGGCAGCCCAGGCTGGAGGCCCGCCTGAGTGCCCGAGCCGCTGTGGCGCCTGGGCTCAGCACCCACGCCCCTCGGGCTTCCGCTTCCCCCCTGCCGCCTCTGGCAGGTATCTGGGGGTGCCCTTCCCCCCAGGGTGGAGCGACCTGTCAAACAGCTCAGAGGCTCCTACAGACAAAGGTCACGCCTGATCCGTGGGGCCATGTGCCAGCCGGTGTCAGAGCCCGCAGGGATCAGATGGGCCTGGGGCGCTCAGATCTCCAGCGCTGGGGAGGTGAGGGCAGAACAGGGCCTGAGGGGCCCTCCCCGCCGCAGGCAGAGCCCAGGCAGCCAGCTCCCCACCTCAACCACCGCCCCCCACCTGGTCCTTCGGTCTAGAGGGGACCCGGCCCATGATGAGCTCACCCCATCCCAAGCAGGTCCCAGGCCTAGCCTGGGGTTCCGTACGGGAGCAGGGAGCCAAGGGGGCTGCTCTAGCGATCTCAGCCCCACAAGCTGGGCCGCGTGGCTACATCCTCGTTAGTTCTCGGACCAGGCACAGGCTACCGGCCCCATCTCCCAAACCTGCTTCCCAGGCTGCTCTCTCGGCCACTTGTTCCAGGGACCTTCTCAGTGCTGGAGCAGTCACGAGGCCCCGCGTGGTCAGGATGTCCCCAGATCAGACCGTGAAGCTGAGTTCCTGCCCTGCCCGCCCCCTGGGCTGGAGCAGGGGCTCCTGGCTTGTTTCTCCCACCAGGAGACACTCGTCCCCACCAAGAGCTCCCCGTGCAGATTCTCAGGGGCTGACGCTTGCCTCCAGGACCCAAGTGGCAGTACCCATCCCACCTGCTCACCTGCTCTGGGTCCATCCTGTTATCTGCTCATACACCGCCCAGTCCTCACCTCCCACCAAAGCCTGACTCCATGAGAAGGGAGCCCTTGGAATGGGACACAGGTCTCCCCTCACCCCGACCAGGGGAACCTGCCCCCTCCAAGAACAGGAAAGGGAGGCCCTGGTGAGCCGGTGAGTGGCCTGGGGCTTAGGACCCTGCAAGGAAGTTTGCTGGCCCAGGTGTCGCAGACACAGCTCAGGAGACAGGTAGACAGGTTTTATTCCACCTGACCCCTGCCCATGGCTGCCCCGGGCAGAGCGGGGGCAGGCTGCTCGGAGGGTCAGAGGCAGGGTGGCGTACAGGTGGTCTCGCTGTGGCCCCAGGTGAGTGGCAGAGGGAAGGTGGGTCGGCTACCCCCCCTGGGGTCTCTGCAGGGGCCTGGCCAAGCTGAGGGGTTCACAGTCTCCGTGGTGTGGACGCTGGAGGGCTGGGGTGCAGGCCATGCCCAGACACACACGCAAGGCTGGGCACCTGCTGGGCCCCCGACGCCCCAGAACAAAGGTGCCGGGGGTTGGGGGGGGGGATCTATGGGGTGGCAACAGTCTTTCTGACAAAGACATTAAGGCCAAAGTGGCCGAGGTCGACAGGGGTCCAGACGGGAGAGTAGAAAACGCTCGCGCTCACGCACCGCACGCACACGCCGGCTCGGTAGAATCACGAGGCCGGAATCACACGACGCTCTGCCGGCCCCCCGCTCCCTCAAACTCGGACGTGCCCGAGCCGCCGCCCCGGCCAAAGTCAATGAAGATCCCCTCCGAATCCGAGTCGACCGACTCCAGGATCTGGTCGACCAGGTTCTCGGGGCTGGAGGAGGCCGGGGAGCCGCGGGCCGCGCCCGGACCGGGCTTGGGGGGCTGGGCCGGCGGGTACAGTCTGCTGGGGCAGGGCCCCGACGGGGGCGACGACGGGGAGGTGCCGAAGGCGCCAGCGGGCCCCGGGCCGGGCGTGTCGGCGAAGCCCTGGGGCTCAGGGCAGGACGTCATCTCGGAGACCGAGTGCCGGCGGATGCCCGCGCCGCCCGCCGCCGCGCCCTCGGCCTCGTGCTCCGCCACGGGGTTCAGCAGCGGCGTGTTGTAGCTCTTGGAACGCACCACCGGGTTCTTGGCCAGGACGTCCCCCGAGCGGGAGCGCCGCAGGTAGTGCTTCTCTGCGGAGAGACGGAGGGAGAGGGCGTCATCAGGCCCGGCCGGCCAGGCGCGGGGCAGCCCGCGCTCCCGCACCCACCGCGCGCCGGGGTCTGCAGCCGGCGGCCGCTCCAGGCAGGGCAGCCGGGGCTCCGCCCCAGCGGACCCCGTGGCCATCTTTGGTGGGGGCGGGGGGGGGTCCCTCCTCTCCTGGGGCCGGCCCCCTGGGCCTGGACGGGGCGGGGCTCGACGGAATCGCCTATTTGCACACGTCCCCACCCGCGGGAAGCCACCAGGCCCAAGCACTCGCTACGCGCCAGCACCCTCCTAGGCAGACAGAGCCCCGGCCCTCAGAGCTGCTCCTACTGTGTGTCTGTGTGTGGGGAGGGGGGAAGACTAGAAACCCCTTTTGCGGGCCACAGCTCTGGCAGCGGCAGATGCTCCTTTGGGGCAGCGGCTGAGGTTTATTCTGAGCGTCGGGGCGGGGGAGGACGGCCATGGGGGCGGGGCTCGACGGCCATGGGGGCGGGGCTCAGGCTTCTCCCCCGATCCCGCCCCGCTCAGGGCCTGCGGTTCCACGCAGCGGCCGCCAGGGGGCGGGGCTGAGCGTGGCCAGCGGCCCAGGGGCCGTTCCTGGAGCACAGGAGACAGGCTCCCTCCTGGCCTGGCAGGGGTCTCGGGCGGCCCAAAGCTCTCCTCCAGCTGCTGGGGCCCACCTGAGCGGAGGCATGCCGCTGGGCAGGTTTCAGACCTGCAGGTGGGTGGGCCCTCTGGACGAGAGATGAACCCTCCTACAGCTGGCCCCGGGATCCTCTTGACGTTCCTCATCCCAGGCCTGGGTCCTCCCTGCCCTGGAGCCCCCGGCCTGGCCTTTCCTGAGCTCCTCGCCCATGGCGTGGGTCACTTCATGTCAGCTGGCAAGGGTCACCTTGGGCACTCATCTGGGGATGGTTTCCTCACTGGTCTGCCTCCCCTGGTGGCAAGAACCCTTGACAGTGGGGTGTGGTTCCCCCTGGACCTCAGGACCAAGAGCAGAAGTTGTCACCCAGCAGGTGCTCAGCTGACACTGCTGTCTGAACCAACGGGGCCAGGCAGCCCCAGGACGCCCACCCCATAACCCCTCCACAACCCCCGGGAGCCCCCAAACAGGCTGGGATTTCTTGGGTTCTGGGCCACTGCATGCGCTGGGTCCTTGTAAAACCCCGATCCCAGGACTGAGCACGGACGTGACTTCTGTGGGGGATCTGCGGGCCTCTGGGGGGCTCTCAGAGGAGCCACGGCAACGCCACTAATGCTGTCTGCCCACCAGGACAGCCTTTAAAGGAGGGACCCCCAGGTGGCCCACCCCGTGTGCCCAGTGACCTGCACGTCACATGGCCGGTGGGTACTCGGGGCAGACCTGCTGCGTCTGCACCTCTGGTTCGGTGTGGCCTTTCACCGGAGGCCGGGGTTCCCAGGCAGAGGTGTGGATGGGGCCAGGGGCCACCCCGCCCTCCACCCCAGGCCCAGGCGACCCCTACCCAGGATGCAGGAGTGTGTGAAGGCCCCCTCGCCAGAGTAGAGGCCGTAGGTGCCCAGGTAGGGCGACACCACCTTCTGGATCAGCGTCTCCAGGCGCAGGTAGTCCTTCGTCACGCCCCGGGACTCGTGCACGCCCTGTGAGAGGGAGGGGGCGGCAAGGTCACTGCTCAGCCTGTCCCCTGCCTCCCAGCCCAGCCGGGCACAGCTCAGAGGCCACCACGAACGGCCCGATCCACCCCCTCTCCAGTCCTGGCCCCCATGGCAGGGGCCACTGCACCCTCCCTTTCCAGGCATCTCTCCATTTGGAACCTCTGAGCGGCTTCCTGCTTCAATGCCCTGGTGGGGGCCCACTGCACACAGCAGCCGATGTGCCTGGGAGGCTGCGATGTCCGTGGAAAAGGCTCTGAGGCCAAATCAGGCCAGGTACCCTGAACCCCCACCCATGACAGCTGCGTATCCCCTTCTGTGAGCTGGCTTCCCCGAGGCTCTGGGCAGTCCCTGGGGCCAAGCTCATCGCTGTCCCCCACCCCCGCTACCCACCCACTTGTCCCATGGAGCACTGCAGGCAGGCAAGGCTGCCCCCAGGGGCCAGGCCCAGGCTCAGGTCTGCATCCAAGCTGGGCGGTCAAGCCCTGTCCATCCAATAGCACCATCCATCCCTCTCCCACACTGCTAGGTCCCATCCAGCTCCTCCCAACACCTCCCCTCACTTGGAGATTTGAAGGGCTCTCCACCTGCTCCTGTTTCACTGGAACCAAGGCCTGAGGAATGAGGCGGCCCACAGGACAGCCTTGGTCTTGCCCACCTAGCTGTGAGCTGTCAGGGGGCAAGCTCTGGGTCCTCAGCAGCCCTGGCAGAGGGCTGGGCACACAGCAGGATTTAGTGAGTGCGGCTGAATGAAGGATGTTTCCGAATGAATGGATCATTCTCAAAGGACTGCCAGCAGTTAAGAAACAAGACACACCCAGGTTAACGTTAAATGATGGTTCAAAACAGGAACAAAACCCAGCTCTATGCTGCCTATAAGAAAGCCACTTAAAGGATAAAGACACACACAGAAGCGAGGGAATGCCGGAGATTATACGTGGTAACAGCTCACCGACCACAGCAGGAGAAGCAATTTCAGACAGGACCGACTTCAGACCAAAGAAATTTGGCAGGAATAAGGAAGATCATTAGCTAACAATAAAGAGGTTGATTCTCCAAGTTGATACAACAGTCCCTAATGTGTACACACCTAACAAGAGAACAGGAAACTACGGAGGCCAAAAGTGATGGGGCTGCAAGGAGAAACAGAGAAACCCATCCCCACAGCTAGAGACTCCAGCACTGCTCTCGGAAATAGATCCAGCAGAGGAGACCAGGGAGGACTCAGATGGACTCAGCAACGCCATCAATCAGCCGATATAATCGACATCTATGGACAGCTTCGTCCAACAGCAGAATCCATATTCTTCTCAAGCTCACACAGGATATTCTCTAAAACAGACCATACTCTGGGCCATAAAACACACCTCGACACATCTGTAAGGACAGAAATCAATGTCTACTCTCAGACCGCAGAAGAACTAAACCAGGAACAGAATAACTGATAAGCTCCAGATACACAGAGATTAAACAACTCACTTCTAAATAACACATGGGTCAAAGAAGAAATCTCAAGACCTGTTCTTAAATATTTTGAGTTAAATGAAAAGGTAACATCCAAATTTATAGGCTGCATCAAAAGCAGCACTTAGGGGGAAACTGAAAGTACTGAATGGATACATTAGAAAATTAAAAGTCTAAAATCAATCATCTAAGCTTCCACCCTAGGAAACTAGAAACAGAAGCACAAGCTCAATGCAAGTTAAGCACGAAAAAAGAAATAGAGAGAGCAGAAGTCAGTGAAATGGAAAACAAAAATGGGTAGAGAAAACCAACAAAACCAAAAGCTGTGAAAAGATCAATAAAAATCCACAAGCCTCTAGCCAAGCTACTGAAGAACAAAAGAGAAGATAAAAATGACTAATATCAGAAATGAAAGAGGGGAGGACTTCCCTGGTGGGTCCAGTGGTTAAAACTCTTGTGCTTTTAAAGCAGGAGGCATGGGTTCAGTCCTTGGTTGGCGAACTAAGGTTCTGCATGGCAAAACCCAACCCAAAGCAAACAAACAAAAATCCCCACAAATAAACAGACAAAACAAAGAAATGAAAGAAGGAACATTTATCACAGACCCCATAGTGATGTGTGCTCAGCTGTGTCCAACTCTTTGCGACCCCACGGACAGAGGAGCCTGGCGGGCTACAGCTCGACTCAACGATCGGACCTGCACTGGCAGGCGGATTCTTCACCCCTGAGCCACCTGGGGAGCCCTATGGATGACCCCAGAAGTCATCCCGATCAACGTGGAGGAACTGTCCCCGCCCCAACCACAGCGCCGTGGGAGAGGATGTAACCGCTGAGCTATGCTGGCCGTTGCACAAACTGAATGCCCCTGCATTCCCAGGACTTGTTTGTGAAGCCTGGTCTCTGCTCCCCACTGCACAGTGAGGAAACGGGGCCCCGGGGCTGTGTTATTTGGGTGAGCTCAGATGGTAAAGAATCTGCGGCCATGTGGGAGACCCGGGCTCAGTCCCTGGGTCAGGAAGATCTCCTAAAGGGCGGGGCAACTTGCTCCAGTACTCTTGCCTGGAGAATCCCCATGGACAGAGGGGCCTGGCGGGCTACAGTTCGTGGGGTTGCGAAGGGTCAGACACGACTGCTCTTCAGCTTCCGGGGCCCCATGAGAAGGAACTGTGACTCTACAGGTGGAGCTCAGTAGGCTGGGGAACTCTCCGCTTAGAGAACGCAGCAGGCCCTCAACACACGCTGACCAGGTCCAGCTGAGGCTGCAAAACTGGGGTCAATTCACCGCGGGGCTGGGACACGGACATTCAAAGTGGAGACCAAGGCAAGGGCAAAGGGCTGAGGCTGGTGAGCGGATGGCAGGCAGGCGGGGCAGGACAACGCTGGGGGAAACCGGCCCAAGCCCAGAACTGCACGAGGCGCAGGGGCCGGCAGGGGTCAGCACTGCCCTGGCCCGGCCCCCACCCAGGGGCTGCTCCTGGGGTCCAAGTGAGGTGGCTCAGTCCTGTCCCACTCTTTGCCACCCCGTGGACTATAGCCCGCCAAGCTACTCTGTCCATGGGATTCTCCAGGCAAGAATACTGCAGTGGGTTGCCATTTCCTCCTCCAGGGGATCTTCCCGACCCAGGGATGGAACCCGGGCCTCCCGCTCTGCAGGCGGACTCTACCATCAGAGCCACCAGGGAAACCCTCCTGGGATCAAAAAATCCATGAAAGTTAGTCCCACGGTCACGTCTGACTCTTTGCGACTCCACAGACTGTAGCCCACCTGGCTCCTTTGTCCATGGGATTCTCCAGGCAAGAGTACCGAAGTGGGTTGCCATTCCCTTCTCCAGGGAATCTTCCCAACCGAGGGATCGAACCTGGGTCTCCTGCATTGCAGGCAGATTCTTTACCACCTGAGCCACCAGGGAAGCCTGGGACCAAGGCGACGCCCTATTCCTCGGCTGGAAATCCCAGCGGCGACACTTCCTGCCCCCAACAGCAAGCACCATGGGGGACTCGGCACTGGTTTCTTCCCGTTATCCTTGAACTTTCCCCCCAGGGAGGTGGTCCTAGTCCATCACACAGATGAGGAAACAGGCCAAGAGATGCAGAGTCCCTCCAGCCGCTCCCTGCCCTGCCCCCACCCGGGGCATCCCAGCCCGTTCAGTTCAGTCCCTCAGTCGTGTCCAGCTCTTTGTGACTCCCTGGGCTGCGGCACGCCGGGCCTCCCCGTCCATCACCAACTCCCGGAGCTGGCTCAAACTCATGTCCATCGAGTCGGTGATGCCACCCAACCATCTCATCCTCTGTCGCCCCCTTCTCCTCCCGCCTTCAACAGAAAATTAGATCAAGAGCCCCGCCCATCAACAGAAACCCAGCCAGGTTGGACCTAAAACCCCCTGAAATCCCGACTGCAGGCCTGGCACCCTGCTTCACTGCCAGGACGACCACCAGTTCCCACCAAGAGCAGCCCCTGGACCCTTCAGCCCTCCAGGTTCATCAGCCCCTTCCTTGCTCTGCAGTCTTCAACCAGCTGCCCTGGGCCTCCCCGGTGACCAGCCTCACAGACCCTGACTTAGGAGGCTCGCACGTGCGTGTGTGGGTTCAGAACAGTGAGCTGGATTTGGAGCCTGTCGTCCTCGGGCAAGCAAGGACTCTCCTGTTTCCTGGGAGCCTGTCAGGTGGGGTGGCTGACGGTGCTCCCCCGACCTGTGACAGCGAGGTGAGCCGGCTCACTGTAGGGTGCAGAGCTCACCACTGTAGGGTGCTGTGCTCACCGCGGGGTGCGGCGGTTTGCAGAAAGGTCCAACAAGAAGGTCTGGAATTGCTGTGGGGAGCGGGAGGCGGTGGTCCCCAGACCCAGCACTGGATGGGGGCCTGTTGAGGCCCGGCCCCGCTGCCCCCCAGGGACACTGTCCACACACCCCGGCTCCCCATGGGGTCCCAGGCCGGCGGCCTCCCCCTCTGCCCTGGCTGCCTCCTCTCCCTCCCGGGTTCTTCCTGAGGGTCCCCGCTTGGTAGGTCTCACGTGGACAAGGTCAGAGACTCAGGCTGTCCCCAGGGAGCCTGCCCAGTGCCCCACCCACCTGCAGCACCAGCAGCATCTGCACGATGGCGGGGGGCACTCGGGCGTGGGCCCGGGCCAGCGCGTCCTCCAGCTTCACGCCCAGGGTGATGGTGTTCCGAAAGTGCAGCAGGGCCAGCTGGCGCACCGACGGCTCCTTGCCCTGCAGACACGCGGCGGCCGTTGTCACCGAGAGCCCGCAGATACCGGGACGGACCCGCTGACCCCCAGACCCCTGTCCACCCTGCCCTCCTCCCCAGACGACTCTTGTTCCGAGGAGAAAGGGTCCCACGTGGCTTCCTCGGGAGAGGGAGGGGTGACTGTCACACACACAGAGACCCCTCCTGCGTGTGGGCTGCTGAGCATCGCTCAGGGCTTCCTGGGGTCCTGGGGAGGGGGCCGCCTTCCGTCCACCTCCACGTGCGCAGGCGCAGACGGCCCAGGAGCGCGGAGGCGCGCCCACCCCCAGGCCCAGGCCCAGGCCGCTGACCTGCACGGGGTAGAAGACGGCCTGCAGGGTGGGCAGCACGTCGCTGAAGAAGAAGTCCCAGGTCTCCGCCAGCGAATCCAGCAGCTTCTGCCCTGTGGGCACGAGGACCGTCACCGCCGCCCCAAGGGCCCCAGCGGACACCTCCTGTCTGCGCAGGCCGCGCATCGCCTCCTCGCACCCAGCGGAGGGCGCGGAGCAGACACCTCCTGTCTGCGCAGGCCGCGCATCGCCGCCTCGCACCCAGCGGAGGGCGCGGTCCCCGGAGCTGACGCGGGGCTCTGCAGCCGCGGCCCCCTGCTCCTCCTCCTGGTGCCTCAGCTTCCCCATGAGAACAGTGGGACTTGGGGGCTTCCCTGTGGCCCAGGGCATGGGACGCCGTGTTCCCACTGCAGGGGGCGTGGGTTCGATCCCTGGTTTAGGAACTAAAATTTGCAAACTTCGGTGCAGCCAAAAAAATAAAAAAGGCCCGGATGGGGGAGCTGTTAATACTCTGCTCCCAGAGCTGATGGAAGCCAGACAAAGCAGGGCCTGGGGCAGAGAGGGTATGGGGGTGGGGGGGTGCGTGTTCCTGTTTCCACCACACACAAGCCCCCCAGGTGCTCCACTCACACCCTGGTCTCATCCACTGCCCCCCGACACCTTGTCTGTCTGTCTCCCCCAACAGACACTCACAGGGCACCTACACTGTGCCAGGCCTGGCACCAGGGACTCAGCTGAGCCCCGAAATGCCCGAGTCCCACCACACTGACAAACAGCAGCAATCCTGGCTGGGGGGCAGGGGGGTGGGGAGTGACCCCACCAGGCAGATGAAGAGCTGGGCTTTGGAGAGGGTCTCTCGCTCCAGGGCCCGCATCCCCGCCACCTGGGGCTGCCTAGGGTGGGACCTGGGGAGCCAGGATGACGGCCTTCAGCAGCTGAAACCTGTCCCAGGCAGGAGGGAGTCAGGCAGGGAGGGCTTCCTGGAGGAGGTGCTAGCCGAGCTGATTCAGGAGGGTTTTGCCTGGCGCGCTGACACCCTCGGCACAGCAGGCACAGAGGAAGATGTGTGGGAGGCAGACATGTGGACCACGGGAAGGAGCGACTCCAGCCACAGGGTGGACAGACCCTCAGGGGAGGGACACTTTGAGGTGCCCCCACGCTGGCTCTGGGCACCCCCAGGAAATACCAAGTGCCGAACCCTTAGCCCTTCTGCCTGGAGCAAGCAGATAGCTGGGGTGAAGGCTGCCGGCTCAGGACAAGCAGGCCGCCGAGGTGTGTCGTTGAGGCCTCTGCTGCTGGCCAGGACCCCCACCGGGAAGCCAGACCAGCTGTCGGCTAGGGACACACGGGCGTGGTGGGTGGTGTTCCTGGGAGCCGAGTGGCCGGGGCCGCAGACTGCAGGTTGGCCAGCCTCCCAGACCGCACCACCCACGCCCAGCTCCTGGCGGTTTCCCTGGGAACCAGGTTGGTGAAGGGCCCTTGCCTTTTCGGTTCCGTTTCCCTGCATTTTGGGTGTCTCCCCCCAACCTCCACAGACCTGGCGCCTCCCCTGGTCTGTGGAGGTGCCAGGTTCCGAGAGGGCAGCCTGGCGGGGGGAGGGTGGCCGTGGGGAGGAGGGGTCTCTGCATGCGACCCGTCTGCCTGCTGGCCAGCTCCTGGTCTTCTGTGGGGGCCCCACGGAGGGCTGCATGGAGCCCAGGACGGTGGGCGCCCACCCCGAGAAGCTTGGACTGCACACAAAGGTCCCTTGAGGTCCCCGCCGTCGCCGGCGAGAAGAAAGGCGGCTCAGTTCCCGGGCGGCCGTGGGGCGGCCCTGGGCGCGCGCCAGGCGGGAGTCTGGCGGAAACACAGCGGAAAGGATATCTTGTTAAAACCGAGCGTGGGCCTGGGCGGAGCCACACGCAGATCAGGGGTCAGGAGGCTCGGCCCCAACTCTTGGCTGGGCCCTCTGCCGCCCGGGGGCTGGGGGCGGGGGGCACTGGGGCTGTCAGCGGTGAGGCAGGCACATGGCCCCCCAGGGGGCCCCCATCAGCCCAAGCCTCAGCGTGGTCCTCTGTGAAATGGGCATGATCCATGCGTCCACGCTCAGTAGGCTGAGTGCTGCCATGTAGCAGGCGTTCGCTGTTAGCGTGACGCTGACTGGTGGGCCTGTGTGGTTCGCGACTGCTCAGCAGGACCTGGACTGCCCAGGGCCTGGACAGCCCTTGAGCTGGTTCTGGGATGGGGGTTTCAGCCTGCTTGCCTTCCTCTGGTTTGATCGTGCAGGACCCTGAGACAGAGATGGGCCAGGCTGACCTCGGCTCAGGTCTCGGCCCGAGGCGGCGAGACCGCGAGGACAGCAGTGGCCCCAGGGCAGCTGGAAAGGCCACCACAGGGGCTCAGAGGTGCGCGCGTGAGGGTCACTGCAGTGGAGGTGGGTGGCCTGACCTCTAACAGGCCGGGATTCCTGCAGGACAAGGCTGAGCCCAAGGCCTGGAGCCCATGCAAGACCCCGGTGCACCCCTCGGAGACCCCGAGTGTCTGCCTGCTGAGAAATTACCCCAGCTGCAGCTGAGCCCATGGAGCTGTCACCTTGAATGTGCTCCCTGGAGGGAGGCTGCCATTTCAAGGCCGCTGCGGGCTTCCCACATTTCCAGGAATCAGTCTGCTTGATTTCAAGGCCTCACCGGAGGCTGGAGTGGGTAGGCGGCAAGGTCATGGGGCTGCCCTGTGTGGGGTGCCGGCATCCCAGCAGAGGCTTGGGCTGTGGACATGGCTGGCCACAGGGAGCAGTCTTTGGGGATTAAACTGGGGTAGAAGCGGTGGGGTGGGTTCCCAAGGCTGCCCTTCGGGGTGTGGCTGGGCCCTTGTTGCCGCTGCATGGGCTGAAGGAGGCCACATGTCCTCCTGAAAAGACCACGTTTCAAGGCCTGACTCCATGCAGCCCTCCCTGACTGCCAGGTGGAGCCAACCCTCCCTTCCCCAGGGCCTCCCTTCCTCCTGACACCGATCACACTGGACTGTCGCTGTCTGGCCCACGTCTGTGTGCCCAGCCGGGCTGTGAGCCCATCAGGCAGGGCCCAGGTCCACCTCCAGACCTGCAGTGAGGGCACTGATGGAGCCCGTCTGACCCCCAGCGCCAAGGTGGGGACAGAGGGAAACGACGTGTCTGGGGCTGGCTGGGGATTGGAGGCCGGGCCCTCTGGCCCCCAGCCTGGGGCTCTGTGCCTGTCCCCGAGGCCAGGGGAGGTTGGATGGGGTTAGTGCTCCCTGCTGGGTGGCCTGGCGGCCACGGCCACCATGGGCAAGACTCCACCAAGCTGCACAAAGCGCCTCTTCTCCAAAGGGCCCAGCTCCCCTGGGCCGGAGCTGGTGGGAGGGCGGGCGCTGCTGGAATGTGCCGAGTCAGGAGAGGCGTGTGGGAGGGCCCCTCCGCCAGCAAATCCTCCTGGCGACTCAGGTGCCACCTCCTCCAGGAAGCCTGACCCGATCCCCAGTGGCCTGTGCCTCCTGTCCCCACGTCTGTGGTTCTCACGGCCCTTCTCAGGCTCCTGCCTTGGCCGCTTCCACCCGACAGACACAGAGCTGGTGCAGAAGGAACACAGGACACAGCTCTGAGTTAATGCTGAGCCCCCCAGGCCTCAGTCTCCACCTCTGTGAAATGGGCTAAGGCCCTTGCTTTCCAGGGTCAGTGAGGATGCGAGAGGGAACCTGGAGCAACAGAGAGAGGAGTGCCGATTTGGGCGCTGGGCTGCCAGGGAGGGGCTGTGTAGCCCGGGCGAGTGATCCAGCCCCGTGCCTCAGTGTCCCCAACATTCAGTGACAACAATGGAACCTTCTGCATGGGTCTGTTGGGTGACCCAGGAGTTGGGCGATGGAAGCTCCTGGGATTAGTCCAGCAAAGGGGAGTGCGTGTGGGGCTCGGGTCTGGCACAGAGGGGCCTGCCCCGCATGGGGCGGGGCACACAGCAGGCCCGCAACAGCACATAATCAGCCTGAGCTGGGTTCTCTGCATAACCCGATTTATCTCTACGCCAAGTCACCCCTACTGGGAGGTGTGCACTGCATTTGTCACCTGCCAGCCCACAAACATGGGGGAGCCCAAGGTTTCTGGGACTCGGCCTGTCCTTCCAGAGCTCTGGGCCCAGTCAGGAGCCTCCCTCTCCTCGCTGAGGGCCGCCGTGGGCGGAGAGGCCAGCTGTCACTCCTGGCCTGATCCCTAAAAGGGCAAAGGGGATATGCGCTGGACTCGGATGCCCTGGGTTCCAATCCCACCTCCACCTCTTACCCGCACTGTGGTTCTGGGTGAATTGGGGGCCACTGCTGCCCTGACCCCAGTTATGAAATGGGTACAATGACCCAGAGGCCTCAAGGGGCCCCAAACCTTGGCTGGGAGCCTAGGTCAGCTGCTCTTCAAGCTGGGGGCTCCCCGCTCCGCCGCATCCTGAGTCTAGACCACTCCCCCTCTGGTCCTCAAAGATCCTGATGGGGGTTCTCCCAGGCTGCTGGGACGGGGTTCACGGGGGTCAGAGGGCCTCGTGGGTAGTGAGGTGAAGCAGAGGCCTTCTGCCCAACATCCCTCAGACCTCCAGGGCCCCCATGAAGGTTCCTTCCACCTGGCCCCATCAAGGTTCCTTCCCAACATCAGATTCTGGCCCCACAATCTTGGCATCGCTCCTGCCCCTCTGAGCCCCTTGCCCGGGAGGGCCACCCCACCTCCCCAGAGCCCCAGGTGGAGCCCAGGTGAAGCCAGGGTGACCAGGGGCCACGCCCTCAAGCAGCATAGCTGGCACCCGCTCCTGGCCCCGAGCCACCAGACTCACCCTCATAGAAGCGGATCTTGTCTCGCAGGATCACCATGCCTTTCGTCAGCAGCTGGTTCTGCAAGGCACACGTGGAGATGCTGTCACTGCCCCGGAGGGGGACCTGGGGCCCCCAACACTTCCCAGCAGGCAGCCGAGGCTCAGAGGGGTAGGCTGACGACCCACAGCCTGCCTGCTCCAGAGCCGGGACCTCGGCTCTCCTAGTGGACACGGGTGACTGACCCAACCGGGTTGTCTTGAGACAGAAGAGGGGAAGGAACCCCCAACCTGCCCCCCAAAGATGGGCCAGGCTGGGGGCTCCTGCTCCAGGCTGAGCGTGTGGGCAGGTAGCCGCCCCTGAACCCCAGGTGGAAGGAGGGTCTTTCAGGCAAGAGGGGCCCCGTGACTGAAGGACTGAGCGAGCGTGGCCACTGTCCACCTGCGGCTCACACGGCACCCCCTGAACCACCCTCGAACGACACCATGAGGTCTTCGCAACAGCTGGAGCAGCCAGAGAGCGGAAACAATCTGGGGCCAAGGACTGATGAACAGTCCCAGCCCATGAGGGAACATTACTTGGCCATAAAAAAAGGACGACGAGATTCTGACATAGGCCCAACGTGGCTGAATCTCGAAAACGCTGTGCTCAGTAAGAGAGGCCAGGGTAAAAGGCCACGGGGCTATGCAATCCCACTGATGTGAAATGTCCACACAGGTGAATCCAGACAGAAAATAGATTAGCAGTGGCCTGGGGCTGTGGGGAGAGGGGAAGGGCGTATGAATACAGGGTCTCCCTTTGGGGTGACAAAAAAGGCCTGGGATCAGACAGTGGGGACAGCTGTCTCTCCCTGAGAAGAGCTGTGAGTATGCTGAACACCACTGAACTGCACACTTTCCAGTGGACAGGCCGTGCAATGCATCAGTTTACACCTCAATACAGCTGCTAAGTTAAAAAACCAACCCTAAACCCACAGGATGGGAAGGAGCCCCAGGCTGGTTCTCACCCCCCACTCTCCTGGGAGCGGTGGGGTTGAGCACCTGAGCCTGCATGCGCACACCCCTGCCTGCACCACCTCGGCCTTCCTGCCTGTGTGACCTCAGGGGCCCCGAGGTCCAGTGTGTTCCTTGTCTTTGCAGGCCTGTGGCTTCTGCAGCACCTGGGAAACAGTGACCTCAGTGACACGGGCGCCACGCTGACAACGGTCACCATGCAGCTCAGGGTGACATGGACTAGGGCTTGTAGATGACGAGTGTGGGCTCTGGGGACCAATCCTGATCTTCCAGGAAGAGGAGGGCCAGCCACCACACAAGTGACCTTCAGCCCCACGCCAGGCAGGGCTCTGAGTCCTCACCTGCCTCTGGTCGCGTAACCGCCCCCGACAACCCGAGCTGGCTGGCTGGGGAAGCTGAGTCACGGCCAGGCAGACACCCGCTTCCTACCCCGTCCTTTCCAGCCCACTCAGGAAGCGCCCCCGGGCCAGACGGCAAGCAAAGCGCACCCACCTGCAGGTACTCCGTGAAGAAGGACCCCAGCTCCGTCTTCAGCAGCTGCCTGTGGGGGTGGGGGGGTGGGGGGCAGGAGTCAGAGACCCCACGGTGCGGGTGGGGGCCACCTGCAGCGGGAGACCAACCCCCTCGGCCCGGAGCCCGGAGGATGTGGCTAGATGCTTCTCCAAGATAGACGAGTGGCTGATAACGCGGGGGAAGATGTTATTGGTCAGGTCAGGGGAAGACTGACCACTGTCAGTCACCAGGGGAACCCAACCCAGATCCCAACACCCACCCCAGCGCTGTTACAATCAAGGCCCTGGGCTGTAACAGGTGTCGGGGAGAAGCTGGGGAAACCGATCCCTCACACACGGCGAGAAGGAACGCAAGACAGCGCGGCTGCTGTGGGCAACCGCTGGGCAGCTCCTCAAATGGTTCGGTGTAGACCCCGAACCCCACCCTTAGGTGCATACCCAGGAGCCATGAGAACAGAGGTCCATGCAAGGCCTCCTACAGGGATGCTCCGAGCAGCCGAAAGGTGCACACCACCCAAACGCCCCTCAGCACGGGACTGGGCAGACAAAAGGGCGTGTTTGTTATACAATGGGGTATTATCCGGCCATAAAAAAAATGAGGCGCTGCTACCCGCTCCAGCCCAGATGAGCCCCGGGCGTGGAGGCGCATTGGGCTGAGGGCAAGAAGCAGACGCCAAGGCCACGTGCATCATCGTGTGACTCCATTTATAGGAAACGTCCGGGCAAACCCAGGCAGATGAACTGGACTGAATCTCCCAGAGGCTGGTGGTGGGGGCGAGTGATAGGGAGTGACTGTTAAGGGGTCTGGGCTTTTTCGTGGCAGGGTAGGGGGGTGGAGCGGTGATGAAAATGTCCTGGAATTAAATAGTGGTGATAGTTGTACAAGCTGTTGAATGGACTAAAAACCACTCAGCTGTACATTGTAAAAGGATAAATTGTATCTTAAAAAAACCAAACATATATGGGCTTCCCTGGTACCTCAGACAGTAAATAATCTGCCTGCAATTGAAGGAGACCCAGGTTCGATCCCTGGGTGGGGAAGATCCCCTGGAGAAAGAAATGGCAACCCGCTCCAGTATTCTTGCCTGGAGAATCCCAGGGACAGAGGAGCCTGGTGGGCTACGGTCCATGGAGTTGCAAAGAGTCAGACACAACTGAGTGACTGACACTTTGAAGGGCCATCTTAGGCCTTCAGGGTTGGGGTGGGGTGACCATGTCCCAATCCATCGTTTACGCCTGCCCTGAGCTGATGGGGAGGTTTGCTGCCTGTTTCTCCAGACATTCTTTGGCTGCAAGGACAGGGTGGCACAGGCCAGGGCAGGAGGGAGAAAGAGCACAGAGGTGGAAGATGCCTCCTTGCAGTAGCTGTGTGACCCTGGGCAAGTCTCTCGACCTCTCTGAGCTTCAGCCTCCTCCCTACAATGTAGGACTAACACCTTGGCCTTCCCAGATGCCTTCGAACTGGTCTGTCCCAGATCCCGCACCCGAGTTCAGGTCTCAACTGTTTGCAGGAAATGAGGGGTGTTCAACTGGGCTGTAATGGCCTTTCTCGGAACAAAACTCCCGTCATTAGGCAGGTGGGTCCTTCCTCTTTTAACAGAATAAATATCCTTCGCGATGCTCAATGGCAGCTGGGAATGTGGGCGTCATCTTGAGCCATTGCCCAAGTCCCTACCCATTTCCCCTGCAAAGCAGTCCTGGGCCAAGTTGGGGGGGCGGTGTGAAGGCCACGGGACATGACTGGGGTCACAGTCTACAGGGCAGTCACCGCCCACCTCAGCTCTAAGGGCGGAACCTGGGGCTAGTGGACTGGGGCGCCTGCCTGGGACCTACCCCCCCACTTCCTAGCACGGCCCTCCCACCACTCCCAGACCCGGGCCTGGACGACGGGACAGCCAGCCACTCACCGGACACCTTCGTTCAGGCTGAAAAGCTCCTGGTCGGGCAGCCCCTTACGCTGGAAGACGGCGATCACCCCGTTATGGATGCTGCAGGGGGTGGTGGAGGGGAGAGGAGGGTTGCCGACCAGAGGCCCGGAGCCCCAGCCCACCTTCCCTCTCCTGTGGCGCCCCGCCCTCACCGCTCGAAGCTGGGCAACGGCCTCTGGCAGAGAAGGCAGGCCTGGAGCACACAGGTCGGCTGCCCCCGTGGGACCCCATGCGCCCCAGAGCCTCAGATCCCATCTCGAGCTCCAGGCCCGTCACCGGCCACCTCTCCTGGAGCTCCTGGGCACTTCTACACACTCCACCTCCCTTCCCATATCCCTGAACCCTCCGCACCCAGGCCAGAAACTAGGGAACACCCTCTGGTGGCCTTCTGCACCCCCAAACGTCACCACCTTGTGCTTCCAGGTGCCCTCGAGCTGGCCCCTGACCCCCTGAACTGGGTATCTGTGCTGTCTGCACCTGGCCCCCTGGACAGGCTGCCCTCACCACAGGGCCTTTGCACGTGTCCTTCCTTCAGGTCCCAGGCGATCTCCGTGTTTACATTCCATCAATGTGCAGCTATGTGTTTATACGAGACTTGTTTGATGGACTGGTTCCCACCACTATCTGTAAACCTGAGCAGAGGGCCCTGCGCCATTAGTGACTGCGTGCTCTCTCCCAGCTCGAAGGAGAGCCCATAAATGCTGCTCAGTCCCTAAGTCGTGGCCAACTCTTTGTGACCCCGTGGACTGCAGTGTGCCAGGCTCCTCTGTCCTTCACCATCTCCCGGAGTTTGCTCAGATTCACCTCCATTGAGCTGGTGATGCCATCCAGCCACCTCGTCCTCTGCTGCTCCCTTCTCCTTTAATCTTTCCCAGCATCAGGGTCTTTTCCATGAGTCGGCGAGTGACATTCATCCTGACTCTCCCCAGCCCTCCAGATCCAACTGGCCCTGAAGCTCTGCCCGTCTCACCCCCAGATCTCTGCTGCACCGTGTCTTTCCTCGACACCCACCCGACCTCTGACTGCACAGTCGGCCTCCTTGCTGCACCCGCCCCCACCCAGGGCCCTGCAGATACAGCCTAAGGCCTGAATGTGGCATTCAAGGCTCGTCTGGAATGGTTCCTCCCCACCAGGCACCCCACACCCTAGTCTGACAGAGTACTGGTGCCAAACCTTAGGGTCTTTGTATCCATTTCTTCTACCTGGGGTGTGTGGGGGGGTTCCTCATGCTATCTACTAGACAAGTAGCTCTTCACCCTGGAGCTTTGGCTCAGAAGCCAGCACCTCCAAGAAGCCCTCCTGACATCCTCCCTTTCCCATGCAGACTCACGTCCTGGCACTTTGCCATTTACTTCCACGTTAGTTCTGTAGTTCCTGCCAACGGCCATAAGCTCCCAAGGGTGGGAACCAGGTCTGGGTGGCTCCACCGCCCAACTCAGGATCCGGTCGCTGCAGTAAAGCTCAGCACCAGAGACTGCTTCTTCGTGTTTAGGGACAGCTGGATGCCTGCTGCTGTGCATACCACGAGGCAGGCGGCGGCCACCAAGTTCCTGGAGCCTTTGTCTGCTCTCCCAGCCCCACCGCTCCTAGTAACGTGGACAGGCCACCCATTTTGCAGATGAGGAAACGGAGGTTCAGAGGGGCCAGGTTCCAGGAGGCCACCGAGCGCACCCAACAGCTGCCCCTACTTTCTGTGGAACCAGCAGTGGGCAGGGCTTCCGGCTCGCACCCTGGAAGGGGCAGGGCAGGGGCAAGACCCACACGCCCCGGGTGGGTGAAGGCAGCTCTGAGCACTGCAGGGACACGCCTGCGGACCAGGCCAGGTGCCTCGCCCCCCTGACCTGAGGCCTGACCACCCTGGGGCCTGCTGCTGGAATCTGCTTGTTCACATGGTCAGGGCCATACGCCCTCCCACTTGTTTCCTGCCTGAGAAATGGGGGTCACAAACGTGCCAGCCCCCAGGCTGCCGGGAGGATGAAAGCCTGGCCAGGCCCGAGCCTCAGTGTGGACCCGGCTGAGATTGCGCTCGCCTCTGTCAGGAGGCCCGTGTGGACCCGGCCTACGGCTCTGACACAGTCAGGCTGTTCCCCATTTACAGGCTAAAAAAAGAGTCTGATGGGAAGTCGAACGGCCGCAGGAAGCCGACTGCAGCTGCCACCCTGAAATCCGAACAGCCGGAGACTCGCGCCCGATCGGGCTGCGGGGGGTCAGCCCCTCCCAGTCCTGCCGGCAGTGGGAGCCCGGGGCGCTGGCACGTGGGGCCCCATGGGGCCTGGCTGAGTCCTTCCTGGGGCCCAGGTCTCCGTCAGGCCGAGGGGACGGCCCGGGGGAGCCCTCATCAGCGTCCCGGGCCTGGTCCTGCTGTTCTCAGCAGCCTCTCCAAGTCCTTCCTCCTCCTCCAGTGAACCTTCCGGAGAGACCCCAGCCCCCTCTGGTCCGCTGCCCAGAGGCCATCCTAACCACGTGGCTTTGGATGGGAAGACTGGCTCTTGGGAGAAGTCTTCCCGAGGTCCTCAAGGGTCCAGCACCTGCTGGTTCCGCCACCCCCAGTCTGCCTCAGGCCTTTGTCCTTGCTGTCCCCTCTCCTGCAGGCTCACCATGAAGTGAGGACCCTCTCCCCTTCCAGATATGTGGGGAGTGTATTTGACCCTATCTTCTTTGCAAGAGGAGAGGTCTGTCTGGATTATCGCCAGCTGCCAGCAGCCCAGGCCTCACACGGCTCTACATGTATCTGAGCAGCACCCCGCCCAGCCCTGGGGTCCCCTTCGAGCTCCCCAGCCAGCCCGGCCTCCAGCTCTGTGGACCCTGATCCTGCCCTGCCCACCTCCAGCCCCCAGGCTGGTCCCAGCTGCACACCTCTGCCAAGACCAGACCACTCGTGCCTCAGTTTCCCCATCCGTACAATGGGACTCATATAATCACAGCCCCTGGAGGAGACGCTGGGGAACAGATAGCGCCCTGTGGGGTTATGTGTATCAAACATCATCAGAATCGACTGTGGGGGTCGGGGGGCAGGGGGTGCCCCTGGAAGCATCCACCACGGCTCCACCATCTGCCCCGGGTTTTTCTCCGTCTCATTCTAACCATGGCATGAGGTGGGGACTATGACAGTCCAAGCTGCAGAAGGAAACAGTGAGGCTCAGAGAAGCCAGGGGACGCCCAGCGTCATACAACCTGAAGCCTGGTGGGGCCAGAAAGGAGCCTGGGGCCCACGGTCCTCCCACCCCACGTGGCTGCTCCAAATGGGGGTGGAGGCCGGGCAAGGTCCTGCCCCTTCCCGTTTCTCTGCAGCTGACATTCCACGGTGTTACTAAAGTTTTGAGTTGGGTCAAGAATAAAGCCCTGCTGGGATAGAGAGGAGACGGGGGCGGGGGGGGGGGAGAGGAGGGGAGTGGAGAGGCAAGGCCCTTGTGGGACTTCTCCCCCAAAACAGAAGTGAAACCCCAGCCCATGGCCTCCCTGAGGAAGGCGTGCAGGCCCAGCGAGGACACGGGCAGTGGCCCAATGGAAACCGCAGGCGGCCAGGGGCCCGTGTGGACGCTGACCCATCGCCTCCTCTTGCCTGGAGGTCCTCGCCAGACCTCCCGCCCACCTAGGGAGACAGGACGGCAGGAACCAGTCTCAGCACCTGTCGCCCGAGCACAGGGCGAGGGGAGAAGCCGAGGACCCCGGGTGAGGCTCCACGGTCCCCGTGCTCAGGCTGGGGCAGGAAGGGCTGACTGTGGGGTCTGGGGGGGCCTGCCTTGGCTGCCCTGGTGTGGGCTGCTGCCGCTGTGGGGCCGCGAGCAAGGGGACCCCAGCAGGGCAGGACCCTGGCCGCGCCTCTCAGGGTCACTCATCTGTCTGTGCAGGAAACCCTGGCAGAGAGCAAGCAGGTGACAAAGCGCTGGCAGGTCACACAACACGCCTCCAGGGACTCCTGGGAAGGCTGGGGCCGCGGGCAAGGCCTGGAGGTGGAGGCCTGCCCCTTCGTGGGCCCTACTCTGCTCCGGACCGGCCTCTGGAGCCTCAGGAAACAAGAGAGGAGTGCAGGCCTCCGCCAGGTGCGCCCCTCACCCTCCTAACTGCCTGGTGCCCCAGACTGAGTAGGTGGGGGCAGTGGGGATGCCAAGCACTGCCCCCACTGGCCTCCCCCTCCCAACCACCGGTCACCCTGGAGGCTTCAGCCAGCCTCCTTCGGCCCCCCCAGAGACCCCCATAAAGTGGTGGCAAGAGTGCTGGGCTTAGAACTGGACAGGCCCCCTTGCCTCCGAGCCTCAGTGTCCTCATCTGGAAGATAGGGGCAGGAGTTCCACCTTGCAGGCTGCTGCAGGGAAGGAAGGCAGCCCCCTCCACACCTAGGGTTGGGACGGGGCCCGATACCTGTTGCGGGTGGGAACCCCCATCGGAGGGATGCAGTGTTCAGGGCCCAGGAGGAGAGCAGGGCCCAGGACGCTCTGTGCTCCCTGCCCCCCGCCTCGCCCCTCCAGGACCAGGGATGGGCGGACGAGCAGGGCGGGCTGCAGGCTCTGCGCTCTCACTGCCAACCCCTGCCCGGCCTTGCCCCAGTGGACGAGCCCTGGGCCCTGGCTTCAAGTTGGACCAGGCTTCAGACCCAGCATTAGCAGGGGCTCTTGGTCAAGTCCCTCCCCTTCTCTGGCCTCGGTTTCTCTGAAGACCACCATCGCAGCCTTGGAGATGGGTCTGCAGGAGTGAGAGGGCCCCGCCCGTGCGTTGCACGGGCTCCCCCGGCCGGAAGGCAGGCAGGCGCCTGGCTCAGGCATTTGGGCGAGGAGTAGGGCTCCTTAATGGTCTATACCCTCTGGCCCAAACGCAGGACTCAGGCCAGGGTTTGGGGGGCTCTGCCTGTCCCCCAGCTGGCCCCTCAGCTCAGGAACATGACCTTTGTGCATTTCAAGGCCCCCCCTCCACAGAAGGGTCCAGACCAGGCGAGGCGCTAAATGGGGCCAGCACGGGGACAGAGGGGGACACAGCATGCCGCCTCTGGGGAGGGGACGAGGGGCTGCGGGTGGGGTGACAGGTGAGGCGCCCACCCCTCTGCAGGGCCAGCGCTGGGCCGGGCACGGGGCACAAGCCTGCCCCAGAAAGCAGCCTCAGGGGCTCAGGAAACAGCTTTCGACGGTTGTGTTCTAGTTTCTGATTTGTGAGTGCGGCCCAGCCGGCCAGCACTGCACCCAGCGACCCCCTGTGCGCCCACGGGAGAATGGAGCGTGGTCCTCCGCCATGTGTGGTCAGCGTTCATACTCCCCCATGGCTATCCTCTTCCCAGCACTGACTACCACCTGCTCGGGCCTCGTGGGTTTACCTGCGGCCCTGTTTACCTCCTGACTCCCTTCCTCGACTTCCGACTCCACGCCTGGGGCTGGGACAGTGCCAGTGGGTGAATGAATGGACGAAGGAAGGAACGGCCAGGTGGATGCATGGACGCCACCATCACGGGCACGTGCTCTGTGCTTTGTCCCACATCCGGATGAGGGCACAGGGGCCCAGGGAAGCCAGAGGACCGGGCCAGGTCACTGCAGTGGGTCTCCTAGAAATTCATGTCCTCCCAATGCCCTAGATCTTATTTGTAAACAGAGTCTTTGCAGACGTAATTAGTAAAGGACTCAGACAAAACCGGTCTGGATTTAGGCTGGGTGCTACATCCAACGACTGGTGTCTGTATAAGAGGAAAGAGAGGGAAGTTCGGATGTAGAGACACAGAGGACAAGACCAGGTGGAGACAGACACAGAGAACGGAGCAGCGTGGCCAGAGGCCAAGGAGCTACGGGGAACTGTAAGAGGCAGGAAGGACACTCCCTCCCCTGCAGCCTCCGGAGGGAGCGAGGCCCCGCGGACACCTGATTCTGGACTCCTGCGCTCCAGACTGGGAGAGGACTTTCTGTTGTTCTGAGCCACCAAGTTTGTGCCAATTTTTTCACAGTTGCCCTGGGAAACTAACATGGCCACACAGAAAAAGGGGGTTCACTTTGGACTCGAAATGAGGCATCCACAGCTCAGCAAGGCAGGTCCCGCACTGCCCCGTGCTCCGAGGCTGTTGTCCTGGGGAACAGTGCAAGGAATCGGGGTGGGCCGGCAGGCAGGCCGCAGTCAGAAGAGGCCCCGACCCCCCAGAGGTCCCCGTGGAGCACCAGTGGGAAGACCCTGCCCCTCCCAGACTCAGGGCTCTCTCTGCCAGGGGGAGGACAGCAGGCGCTGTGCTCTGCGGCATCAGCATGGGCAGGCCTCCTAGTCCTCTGGGTGTGCCCCTCTAAATGGGGGTGGGGGGGTAGTAATCATATCTCCCTCGCCGGCTTAGGATGGAGGCAGGCAAAGTGAGCCAGGGGCCTGGCTGCAGGAGTGTGGTGGGGCAGGCCGAGCTGCAGGGGTCCAAGGCTGGGTGGCTAGGAGCCTGGGGGGAGCTGGCTGCTGGCTGGGCCACACCCACAGTCCACCAGGGACGTGACCCAGGAAGGCGCTGAGGTCCTAAAGCTCCTTTAGGTAAAAAAAAAACAAAACAGTGGGGGGCCCCACTTGGCCTCCTCCTACAGGCAGCCCCCTGAGCTCTGGAAGACTCAGAGCCAACTCTAGGGTGCCCCCATCTCTGCCTGAAGACCCCCGAGTAGCGCTGACCACTGCGGGAGAAAGCGGCTGGTGGTGAAAGCTCAGGAAGCAGCAAACTCCTGAGCACGCCCGTGTGCTCCGTTGCTCCAGTCGTGTCGGGCTCTCCGTGACCCCTCAGACGGGAGCCAGGCTCCTCTGTCCAGGGGATTCTCTAGGCAAGAATACTGGGTATTCTTGTGGGTAGCCGTTCCCTTCTCCAGGGCATCTTCCTGACCAAGGGATTGAACCCGCGTCTCTTAGGTCTCCTGCATTGCCAGGTGGGTTCTTTATCACCAGGGCCACCTGGGAACCTGTGAGAGCGTCCCCCTGCAAACCTATCCCTACAAGGCCCAGCCTGACATGTCCCCAGCGTGAATTTGAGCTAGAGTCGCGAGTTACCAAGGACCTGTTATGTGCTAGACACGTGCTGAGGGCTTGAATATAGATCTTCACCTTTAATCCCTACAACGGCCTGGGAGGTGGGCATTTTAAGGACAAGGAAATTGAGGACCAGGGAGGCTCAGTGACTCTCAAGGCCACGCAGCAGGGAAGAGGCAGACCTGGAAGGTGAACTAACTGTCTCCTGGGGCTGGATCAGGGCACAGAGACGAGAAGGGGACTGTTTCTCTCTCAGAGCTGCGGGCGGAGGAACTGCCTCTTAGGGCGGAGGAACTGCCTCTTAGGGCCGCACGCGGTCACCGGGAGATGCCCCGAGGGGAGTCCCTCCCTCCCTGTCCCCACACCAGTCCTGTAAGAAGAAACGCCTGTGCCTGCTGACCCATGGGGAAACTGAGGCCGACTGGTCCCTAACTCTCAAGCCGTTCGCGGCCTGGTAGAGGACCGAAGCAAAGGGCACAGAGGATGGTCTCAGGCTGGCAGCCCTGTGCTTCCCGCCACGCTCAGGAACAGGCGGGTGTGCACGCTGACAGTCGGTCTCCTGGTGGCCCAGACCACAGACGGTGGAGCATCTGGCAGGGCGTGTGTGGTGGTGTTGGTGGGGCACTCGCATCCACAGCCCCCCTCCCCGGACAGCCTGCACCCCTCTCTTCTCCTCCCCTCCCGCTTTCCTTTCGGTGGAAATTATCTGTTTTCGAAAAGGGCTCCTGAGCAAACACGGTGGGAAATCCCACTAAACAAATCGTCTCTTTTTCCGGATTCCCTCAGCCTCGCTCTTCAAACAAAGCTGGTGGGGTGGGGGTGGGACTTCCCACGGCCCCTGCTTGTCTGGGAAGGGCTCACTGGGGGAGGGTCGTCTCAGGAATGCCAGGCAGCTGCTGCTGCTGCACCCCTGCTGACAGCTGGGAGGGCAGGGGCCCTCCCCCCGCGCTCAAGGGAAAGCCAGCCGCCCCCACTCCAGACCGAAGGGACCTAAACGCAGAAACAGGAAGCACAGCAACCCACCGACTGCGCCCGCGAAGCTCATCTGCGAAATGGGATAAATACTTCCTGCTCTATTTACCTCCCAGGTTGCCATGAGGAGGAGCGGGGGGCGGAGACGTAGGAAGACCCCCGGGGGAAGGCAGGCGTGCGGGACCAGGGCCACCCACCATCCACCAGCTGCGGGGTGGGGTGGGGGGCCCCTGGGACCAGCCCCTGGCCCGCGGTCTCGTCCCTCCGTTCTAGAAACACGTTGCACTAAACTTCCCTCCTCGCTCGCACAACTCCGGGGGAGCGATTTCTCCGCACACCGGCGGGCGCAGAGCTGCCCCCCGGGCACAGTCCCTAGCTCCAGGCCCCCCTCAGCCCCCCGGCTCTGGGACCCTCTGGGGCCGGCCGGGAGGGCGCGGCCTTACCTGTTCCAGGTGGCGTTGGCGCAGGCCCGGCGCTGCTGCGTGCCCCGCTCGTCCGCGGCGGCGGCGGCGGCCGGCTCTCTCTTGCCCAGGTCACTGAGGCTGGGCGAACTCATGAACTTCAACCTGCGGAGAGTCCTCATGGTGACCTCCCCTGGCGGCGGGCTCAGCGCCCACGCGCGCTCCGTGCCGCGCCCTGCGCCACGCCGCGCCGCGGGCCCCGGCCGGCGCTGCGCCCTCTACGAGGAAACTTGGGCGAAAGCAGGAAGCCGGGCAGCCCTCCCGGGGCCCGCCCCGGCCCCGCGCCTCCGCCCCGGGCCCCGCGCCGGCCGCCGAGCCGGGTTAATCATTTCTCCGAACGGCCGCGGCGCGCAGCGCCCGGAGCTCGGCGGATACGGCGCGGACCCGGCGCAAAAGGGGCCCGGGGGCGGGGCCGGACTGAGGGGGCGGGGGTGCAGGGCCGGGGGCGGGGCGTGGGCGTGGCCTCTGAGAGGGTGTGTACAGAGGCGGGGCCTCGAGCTGGGGCGGGGCCTCCGGAAAGGGCATCGCAGAGGCGGGACCGATCTGGGGGCGGGGCCTCAAGAGAGGGCGTGTTCAGAGGTGGGGCCACAAGCTGGGGGCGGGGCCGGCGCCTCCGCAACAACCTTAGCGGTAAAAGGCTTTAGCGCCTGAGTCCGCCCTCCTGGGATCGTGCTCTGGGTCCCCTCTGTTCTTCCAAGGGCCACGAGTGCCCACCAGAAACCAACACGCACGACTGCACAATCCGACCTCAATCGTCCACCCTGCGACAGGCCCTGCGGCCACACCCCGACGGTGCTCAGCTTCGAGTCTGGTCCCGGATCCCTGCGGCAGTTGGTATACCAAGTGCCCTCTACCTCGCCATCCCTCCCCACTAAAGGCTGCGCTCAGACAGAGTTCTTAAGACCCCGCCATGTGGACACAGACTCCTCCCTGGTTCTCATGAAGGTTAACTAGGTCGAGGTCTTCAGCCCATTTTCCAGCTGAGAAAACCAAGGCTCAGAGGCGAAAGAACCTGCCCAACGCCAAACAATGAACAAACGGCAAAGCTGGACCTAACTCAGGCCTCCCGAGCCCATGGCACAACATCCCTCCAGCTTCTGGGATGCCCATAGGGCTCCCTGGCCCTTGCCCTCAGACAGGGCAAGACAGTGTCGCTGCCCTCCTGTGTACCCACGGCCTTTCCCGAAGCAAGGCCTTTATCACCAGAGGCCCTGCCTCACATCTTCCTATAAATGAGTCCCGCGCGCATCACTGGGGGAGAGGGGGCGGAGCCTAGAGCCTCAGCATGGGAAGGAAGGATGCTCAGATCTTCTCCCCGGGCGCTGTAGAGGCCGGGGGCTCCCAGGCCCCCTATCCGGGCTCTCTGTATGAGATACCCCGCTCAATGAGAGAGCCAAAGCACCTGCCGCCACCCTTCCCCCACCCGGCTTGTCCTGGAAATTCAGCCCGACACAGTGGAGGTCCACATTACCGTCTCCACTCAGAGACTGGAATCTGCACCTTAGTGTGGAGGAGGTGGTGATGGTGGGGGTTGGGGGAGGTCTGGCTCAACTCCCCCCAAGGCCGGGGCTCTTTCTGCTGAATGCCCCAGGTGGGATGGTTTGCCAGGCCCAGGCTGAGCAACCAGTGAGCGTCTTTTGTGGCTCCAGGAGCAAGGAGAGCCTCATATGAGGTGTATGGACTGGGGAGGAGACACTGTCCAGGGAAAATCAACCAACATTTCCCAAGCACGTACGGCACACCAGACATTACCCTCATCCTCAGGAGGCAGAGTCCTGCCCGGCAAACCCCCTGGCCCTGAGGTCAGAATCGAGGGATCAGAGACCTCTGACTCCCCCAGAGTCCATGACCCCCAAGGCTGAGACCTGCATGACCCAGCGTGAATGACAGGCCAGGAAGGACCTGGTGGTTTCCACACCCTTGTAGAAACAACTGTGGACCCTGGCTGCTCCTTCCACCTCCTCTATCATCTCCCCAGCCCAGGACAACACACACTCCCTGCCTGGTCTGCCTGGGACCACCCAGGTCACTGGACAAGCCTGTCCTCCAGGTGGTGACCGGGGTGATCCTTGGCATACCATGCGCCCTCCTGCACTTGGAGCTCCTGCTGGTTCCCACTGCCCTGGGGATCAAGTCCAGAGCCTGGAATCCTTGGAGGACTGTCCCGCCTCTCCTCGCTCACCCTTCTGACTGCCTTCACCTTGGGTTGGGCTCAGGGGTTACCCTCTGGTCATCTGATGACTTTTCCATGTGATGCCTTAAGCCAGGGGGGCCAGGACTGTGATAACTGGTTCACCACTACATTCCTGAACCCAGTACACAATAGGCATGCAGTAAATATTTGGTTAAATGGATGGATAAACACCTGTCTCACAGGTGGGAAGGGACTCAGTGCATTATAAATACTGCCACACTGGGGCTTTCCTGGTGGCTCAGTGGTAAAGAATGTGTCTGCCAACGTAGATCCCTGGTTTGGGGAGATTCCACATGCCTCGGAGCAACTAAGCCCCTGAGTCACAACTATTAAGCCTGTGCTCTAGAGCCGGGGATCCACGACTCCTGAGCCCACGGGCCGCGACTACTGAAGCCCGCACACTCCGCAGCGTGGCTCTGCAACAAGAGAAGCCATCGCAATGAGAAGCCTGTGCGCGCAACGAGAGAGGAGCCCCTGCTGGCAGCAAGTGGAGAAGAGCCCGTGCAGCAGGGAAGACCCAGCAGAGGCAAACAGGCGACTAAAATTCTATACGGAAGCACAGCGGCCACACTGGACAGACGCAGAACCAGTCAGTGCCCCTGGAGTAAATGCCGCAGAGAACCACCAGGATCCGCTCACATCCCGGTGGGCAGGGTGAAGGGCGGCTTCCCAAGCTGAAGGCAGGCTCTCGGGGGAGGCGGCTGGCTGCGTCTGCTCGGCGCGCTCAGGTGGGAAGAGCCCAGCCACTGGCACGAGGGGCCAGCTCCATGCAGAGGGTGGCTGGACGGTTCTGGGTGCGGGTGGCAAGGGCAGCCCGAGGAGCGGGGCAGCAGGGGGGTTAGAAGAGGAGGGGCTGGGGAAAGTGGCCAGCCAGAAACGCCGGAGGTGGGGCTGGCTGGCTGAAGGATTGAGAAGCCCTGCCCCGTCAGTGCTAAGTGCTTTAACTGGCCACCACCCGCCACCCCGAGCCCAGCGGCAGACCTCTGTTCGATCCGTCTGCAACGGCCCAGTGCTGGGGGTATCGTGGAGACCCAGGGGTCCTCTGTGTTCGGGCTGGTGACGGGCAGGGAGGGGCCCGGGGTGGGTGGGGGCTGGACAGCCAGGGCAGCAGGCGGCCCCCAGGGCCAGAATCTGAGGCATAGGCTAGGAGGAGACAAACCATCCCAGCCCCCAAAGCAGGGGACAACAGGGAGGCCGAAGGCCACATCCGGGCCCTAAACATGTTCTGCACAGCTCGCGGTGTGGGGGAGAGAAACAAAAAACCCAAACTGCCCACAGCCAGGGTTTCACAATGGAGACACTGACATAGAAGCCCTGATTTCTGGCTTCCTGGGAAATGTCAGATGACCGGGCCTCCCGGGCCTGAGGCCCCATGTGACCGCTCTGGGTGGGCTGCTGACCCTGCAGGCAGGCATGGGGTCTCTGGGTGCCCACCAGGCCCTCTACTCACTTATGGAGGCTTCCATAAGTGCCAGGTAAGGGCTTGGGGACTGAGCAACTGTATGGTGTGGTGGGGCTGGGTTGGGCCTGTGTGTGCCTGGGACTCAGGGATGGGAACGCCCTCCGTTCAAGCGAATGGGAGACAGGGGTACCCATTCATGCACCCCCGTGGCTGCCAGAGTAACCTTGCTGCAAGAACTGTGCCAGGCCTGATGGCATCAACCATGTCCTCTCCTCCTTCAGGAGCCAAACATCTCCCAGCCCCTCCCCCACCAGCAGGAGGTCAGTACCCGGCGCAGGACCCCGGTCACTAGGGGGGACCCACAGGGCTTTTCTCTCTGTCAGGGGAGGGAGCCCTAGGCTGGGGGGGCCAGAACTGGGGTCCACTGGACCTGCCATCAAGTCAGGTGACCTCTCGGGTCTCGGTCTGCCCATTGGGAAGATGGATGGGGTTTAGGGACGTGGGAATGAGACCCCATAAAACCCTTCCCCTGCAAAAAGATCAACCCTGTCTATTCATTAGGACTGATACTGAAGCTCCAATACCACCTGATGTGAAGAGCCGACTCACTGAAAAAGAACCTAAGGCTAGGAAGGATTGAGGGCAGAAGGAGAAGGGGACGACAGAGGATGAGATGGTTGGATTGCATCACCGGCTCAATGGACATGAGTTTGAGCCAACTCCGTGAGGCGGTGAAGGGCAGGGAAGCCTGGCGTGCTGCCGTCCAGGGAGCTGCAAAGAGTCGGACACGACTTACTGACCGAACAGCAACAAAGCCCTTTAGGGGCCACGTGCTCCCTGCAGCTGTGGCGGGAGATGGTGATCCAGGTGTCTTTGATCCTTGAGGTGTGGCTGATCCGGAGGTTCTGTCTTCATGATCAAGGTGCTAGCACTGGCAAAGACCTTTAGGATGGGCTCAAGGCGCTGGGACTTGGTGTCAGAAAGTCCTCCGGGGCTGGGAACTCCAGCCAGGATCTTTGGGGGTGAGGCCTGGGGTTGCTCGGAAGTATCTCAGGGACTCTGCAAACCCCTGGGCATGGTTCAGTCATGTGCCCACTTCACAGATGGACAGCCTGACGCCTGGGAGCAGGACGGCAGGAAGTCCGTGCGGCCCTGGAACGCAGGCCTCCAGGGTGAGGACGGGGGCGGGGGAGAGCCAGCCGCCAGCTCTGTCACCCTCTTGCTGGCGCTGACCTCAGCCGGCTGCACCTGGTCCTCTTGGAGGGGCACTTCCGCCCCCTGGTGGCGAGGGCTGGTGTCCCCCCAGCAGGCTGGGAACATGCCTCCAGTTCGCTAGGGAATCCCACTGGCCAAAGGCTCGGCACCCTGGGGGCCTGCACACCCCGGCGGGGCCTCATCCAGGCACTGAGAGCCCTGAGGAGACTGCTGGCCCGTGTCTCCTTTCTCTGAGGTGGGCAAGCCCTCCCAGGATGCGGGGAGGTGGGACGAGACCATTCGCACAGTCGTGGG